CACCACCACCACCACCACCACCACCACCACCACCACCACCACCACCACCATCACACCAGGACTTCCCAAGCTATAAATAGATCAACGAGCCATAGATGCAGCAGTAGATAGAATCATGAACAGTTTCACTTTAACCCTAATTTATAGATTTATAGCATCTTAGGACCAATTGAGGAGTGTGACAATTTGTGCTACTGAAAGGGATTCTGTCTCAATCTTAAATGTTAAACACATGTCACCTGTTAACGTCAGCAACTGGATCCTTTTGCACCTTCAGCAGTTCTTGAGGCACCTCGCCGCAAATGGTCCAAACAACCACCCACAGGGTCCTAGAGTCCTAGAGCCTAGATTGAAGTTTCTTCTCAGAGAACCTCTCATCGTCGTATGTTCCGCGAGCGGAAAAAGAAGAGCCAAGGTTTCTCGAAGAGCGCCGTTTGGGCGTGAACGCCTTCACGAAGCTCAAACAGCATGCAATTGAGTCGGTCACCTGTGAGCGCGTGGGCAATGGCCCGAGCTGCTCCTGGCAATTCAAGATCGCCGCTTGGGCCAAACTGGGGCGAGAAGCTGTGTGAACAGCCGAAAGGCTTTGGAACTCGATAGTCTGACTTGACCAACTGGTTGGGCTGCATGTTCTATCATGTTCTGCTGGATGTTGGGCACAAAAGGCAGTGTCCATGTTGAGGCTATTCAATCCACCTCATTCCCTGTGTTGTACAGGCCCTGTGGATGGCGAGCGGGTAGAGGTCAGCTTATTGCGAGGGTATGCGAGGGTAGTAATTATTTAACTTCTTTTCACTTTGAGGCAATCACATGAGTGGAACATGGACCCTGAGGCAGTGCATCATCAGACCATGCTCCTTTGCAGATGTATTTTTTGCTGTTTCAGAAGCAGAGGACGGACTCAGTCCCATCTTCACCGCATCTTCGGCCAATCTTCGTGCGCCATCGCTGCACCTTCCTTCCGCTCAGGTCTGATGGAACAGGTCCGCTTTGCTTCGGCGAGCCCATGGAAACGAGCGCCCTCTGAGGGGTTGGGAGCGCGCCGTTTGAAAAGAGTCGCCTGGGGCCGGCCCGCGGGGTGCGCGAGCCGTTCGCGCGCCGTTCGCATCAAGCCTTCTACTTGACGTCACGTACCTCAAGTGACTCAGAGGTAACCCTTGAACGGGCAGGGACACGTGATGGAAAAAGGCATGCGCACGCATGATGTCTTGGAAGATCTTGGAAGTTTGATGTTGGTTGATCAGATGTCATAGGTGAGCATGTGCAACTGCCTCAAGACATCAAACCATACATGAGAGCGAAGAGTATGCCAACTATAAACGTGTTCCTGGATGTGGCAGAGATGGTTTCCAGCCTCTTCTGTCAGGTGAACCAACGGTTCGAACCTCTCGGTACCATATGGTACCATGCGCTATAATTGCTTTGCCCAAAGATGGTAGGATGCTTTTCACGACATCTTCGGCGAACATCATCGGTCCGACGTCGGGATGTGTGATCCGTTCGGCGGAGTTCCACTCGATTGCGCCGACGGCGAGTTCCGGGATTCACATGCCGAGCGAAGAAGACAGCACGACGCATCGTAGACGTTAGGCATTGCCTATGTTGGTTGAGTCACACTGTGGCATAACTGCCCTGCTGAAAGGCCCTCATGTTCTTTCTTGGGCACTGCTATGCTGCTCTTCGCGGAAGATCTTTGCTTTGCCTAATGCCTGATGAGTCTACCTGCTTGTCCTCGACCTTGTTCTTTTGAGACAGGGATCTACTCCACCTGACTATCATAGTTCGACCATTTTGCGCCGAGAAGTGGCCAGGCGATCCGCCAGAAGTGAGGCGACGCCACGCCCCTGGCGAGTGCCCGGAGGCCCAGGGGTTGAAGAGAGGCGAGGAGGACATCCCAACGCGTGACACGTCGCACGTGTGTTCGTCGCACGTGTTGCATGTGGCCCAAGTTGGGGACCAAATTCACTACCAGTGAGTTCTGCAAACAGGCAAAGCTTCTAGGGCTGACGAAGCGATGGTAGTAGTGACAGGGCGAATCTTGGAATTCCATGTGAATCTTGGGATGTTGATGTCTTGAGGCTTCTCCTGCGGAATGGCTTCCTGTTTCACCAAGCTTAATCCAAGCAACACAAACGGATGGAAGGGAAAGCACTAGTCGATCTATATTTACCAGATTTTGATGTTGAGAAAAGCACCACTTGGGCCATGGCAATTTGACTCTTTGCGATTTGTTTGACCTTCGTCAACAGGCCATGTGCCAGAGTCGATGTGCAAGATCAGGATTACCTAAAAGCCATGCCTGATATTTCTAGATCTATATATTTCTGGTCTTGCCTGCTGCACGCAACTCATAATCCTCGTTTGGTTCTTTTTCTGGAAGCCCAACTAATTAAAAGCCATGAGACCATGTTTGAACACCGTGAGACCATGTCCAGTCCCGATCGTTATCGAAGCACAGAAACCCCAAAGAACACGGTGACCTCGGGTCACCATGGAACGCCGACGCCGAAGATGTGAGGGGCGACGAAGACGTATGACGTGACGAGCAAAAGGCCCCCATGGCGGAGTCGCGGCGCGACCCTGGCGCCGCCATGGTGAGGGGCTGAACCTGGCCAATCCCCATGCAACTGATGCAATTGAATTCACCTTGGTAGTCAAACGACGCGATTTTGGGGCGAGAGACCCACCAAAAGCACCGTCCACTGCCGTGCTGGAATACATCCAAAGCCCGTGTGTCGCTGAGGTACACCCTGCTTGGAATACATCCAAACCAAAGTTTGCAGCGCTGGTGAGTCATGCAGCATGGCCTCCTCTGGGCCGGGTGGTGTGTGGCAACGGCGCTTGTGTCCGGCCGGTGGAGCAGCGACGGCATGTTCCGAAGGTTCCCGACCAATTTGGCAGATATAATCGATGTATTAAGAAATAAGTATATGTAGGGTCTGTCCTATTACCTGTAACAGTCAGTAAACAATTATTACTATTTTTGAACAAGGCCTTTACTAACCATCATCATCCACTGTTACAGGTCATGGGATAGATCCAAAGTATATGGATTGGCGAGCGCATCAGACGGCCTGTGTGTCTGGCGGAAATCATCCACTTGCAAGCCGGTTGGTGGAAAGGTGCTAGGGTGTTCATGGTGTCCTGGCCTTGCTCAAGGCGCATGAGACCACCCATGTCCCTTCGCAAGAGCGATGCCAGCAGATCGGCAAATCAGAAGCCAGACAAGACGTTCCATCCGATTCCTATCCACGACACCACGAAACCCATCATAACCCATCACCTCAAACCATGACATGATTTGGTGGGACGCGTTCTTCCATTCCATGTTCCAGGCCCGAAGCACCCACGATCGAAGGGACGCCGGACCATCAGGTCAGTTCTGTCACCAATGTGCTGCTGACCAAAGGAGGCAAGGCCGTTTCCACGCATTGAGCTCCTTGACAGTGTCCAGTTGACTTCCGAATAAAAGGGATCATCAACCGGTTTTGGGCTTGGAATCGCTTGTGGCAGCCCAAGCTTGTTCGTGCTTCTCCACGGGTTGGGGGTTAACGGTGGTAGCTTTAGGCCATTGAAGATGGGGAGAACAACAGGAAGTTGAAATGCCCGAGCCAGCCAAGCGATGTGAATTGAGTGGATTCGTGTTCCCGCTTGACCTTGCAATTGTATAAATTCACTTGCCTGAGTTCTGCGACCCAAATCTTTCGAGATCGCTGGGTGGGTGGACATTCAAGGAGTTAAAGTGAAGGTCGTGGAGGTGAAACCAATAGATCAACAGATATCATTTATGATTAAATGATAATATGATATTATATATATATATATACTTTTTTTCTGAGACCCTCTCTGGACTGAGCATGTTTGTGGACCTGCTTAAGAAGCTTTGCTGCAAGTACGATCCTGGCCAGGTCAGGCCCTTCCATGATTTTATATAGGTGCAAGAGTCGCAACATCAAGTCTCAAAGGAAGAGCCAGCTTGGGCCAACCCGCGTGGGTCGAATTGACATACACAATCACGTATATGTACAGGCAACTGACCAAGTTCTACCACCATGAAATCATTGGAATTCCATGGGGTGACTAAGGCATTGTCCTTTCCCAGTGCGATGGATGCTCAAAGACTCCTCATTTCACCGGTCTCCAAACGTCCGGTTCTCCGCGCATCATGCTAACCTTGGGGTCTTCCCCCACGGTGTCCATCCGCACATGGCCGGCCCACGGTGTCCCACGCGCTCCACACGCTCCACGCCACCGCGGAAGCGCCGTTGGGTCCATCGCCGTCGGGTCCATCGGCGCCGTCGGGGCCGTGGTGACGCGGAGGCGTCGCTGGGGCGCTCGCGCGAGCGACCGTGCTCCACGTCGCGCGGTGCTTTTGGCAGAGCTTCTGGGGGAGATCCACTGGGACGAGCTCGCGGTGGAGGACCAGCTCACGGTGGTGGTGGCGGATTTGTCGGATGTGGAGCGATGTATGGAGATTGTGGTGCCTGTCTTTGAGGTGAAGACTGAGGAGTTGGAGAGTGTGAGGAGAGGCCTCGCAGGGCGCTTGGGTGCCCGCCGGAGCCTGGTGGGACCCGATGCCGCAGCGCCACGACCGAAGCTCAGTCGGCCAGCACCACACGGATCCACCGAAGGTCCAGAGTTGGGTTTGGCAGCTGAGGAGTGTGGAAGAGCTTTTTTGTTTAAATGTTTTTCAATTCCTTGTTTTTGGGATTTCAGATGGACACTTGGCATGGTATGTTTCCCAGCTTGAGGTTCAGGCTTCCCCTTGAACAGGAACACTATGTCACTATATAGGACTCTTGTCAGAATCTCCTTGCTTGCAGAAAGCTTTAGGTCCTCGCGCTGGAGCATCCGGAGCACGGCTTTGTCGCGTTGGTCGACTTGTCTCTTTGGCCAGCTGACGGCCGCGTGCGCGCGCCCGGCGCCAAGTCGAAGCCAGGCGTCGCGTCGAAGCCTTATGTGTTGAATCTTTGTGTGACTCCATCCTTTCGACGTCAAGGGCTAGCACGGCAGCTCATGGCAGTGCTGGAGCGTTTGCTGCGGGATGTTTGGGGAGACAAGGAGGTCTACTTGCATGTGGAAGACAAGCAAGTCGCGGCCAATGCTTTGTATGAGGCCATTGGGTATGTCCCCATGAAATACACCTATGACAAAGACTTTCCATATACCAAGGCTGAAGCCAGCATCCTTCGGAATGTGACCTGGAGGAGGAAGTTCTTGCCGGTAGCTTCGGAGGGCAGCCCTGCACGGTCTGGCACAATACTGCCTGAGGCCAAAGAAGAGGACAGGCAGCAACACATGCGACGGGTTGTTCTTTTTTCCTCAGCAGCTGGATTACAGTAGATCATATTACGGTACAATGTTCTTTTGTACTATAATAATGTGTGTTCAATGTTCTTTCTTTTAAACATATAGACAACTTTTCGGATAAAATCGAGTCAGATTTGGAACGTGCGGGGCCAGACCCTACGAGGACCCTGGCCCTAGCTTCGAGGAAGAGGATGAAGAGTGTGGAGACGGTGAAGAGGACATCGAAGATGATGGCGAGGAGGAGGACGAGGAGGACGAGGAGGAGGTTCCGCAGAAAGCCGAAGATGAAGACTTTGATTGGGTAACGAGTCTGATGAAGTGAGACGGTGTTGATGGAACCGACAGCCAAAGGCAGCCCGATGCTGGCAGCTTGCTCCCTTCACAGATCTTGGCAGCTACTCACCCTTTCCGATGAAAGCACTCATTGGGCTCTTGGAGTTGGGGAAGCATGCACCAAGAAAACGGCAAAGGCATGAAAAAACAAGTAGTTCTGCGAGTGCGATGTCACGTGTGGCAGAGGTCCTTCACAGTGAAACTAGATATCCCAGCTTGAGGTGGCCAGAGGTCAGGGGTCGCTCCGAGAAGGTCTTGGCCGAAGCTGTTCATGCATCGTTTCATGCATATATATATATATAACTTCCGTGCATCCGGTGGTCCGATACCACTATACTATAGTAGGTATAACTAGTGGTTCAAAAGACAAAAAGGGTAGACCAAGCAACTCTGGTTCCTTAGTAGATCTTAATAGTGGTAACTGGGATCTCTCGTATTGGCACATGCTTTGCACGGCTGACTGTTTTAGTTGACCCGCCAGGAGGACGAAGAAGATCGGAAATTTAGCGCTTCCGAAGTCGAAAAAGATGGGCAACAGCCAGTGGCTTTAGGTGACGAGCTGCGAGCAAGATGGAGTCTCTTCTTGTTCTATGTTTGGCATGTTTGAATCTTTTGGATCATGAGATCACACGGAGACAGGACTTAAACTCCTCAACCTGGTTGCAGTCAAACGATAATTGAGCAGGGTTATAGTCAAGATTGGGCCCTTGAGGCTGCGTCATCGGTTGGGCCCTGTGAATTCAACACAAGAAGGGCCTCCTATGGAGATTTGAGACTCACTCCAATACCTCTACGCCATCCTTTGCGACCACAAACAAAGGATGGCTGAGTGCCATGACAAACTCTAGAAAAGGAACAATGCCCAAACATGCCCAAACCACAAACACATATTATATAGATAATTATAGATATGTTTGTTTGGAACTGTTTGGAACGCTCTTGAGGCACCTTCCACTCCCCAACAGACTGTACTCACTGTACTTACTCTGTAAATGTTTATCCCCGAAGACCAATCAATGTTGATCCGAAAACTCTTGAAGAGCAGGAGGAACATGGCTCCATCGAGCTGGTTCTGTCAGCCCTCAAGAAGCCCACACACCTTTGGGCTTGTCAAGCTGCTATCGACCATAGACAGCTGCTGGTGCAAGTCGCAGCCGCACATCCACCGACAGATCCTGAAGATTCCTTCCCCCAAGTCCCGCCCTGGGCGGTTCAAGCTGGACAAGCCACAGCAGCTTAGTAGTTGAAAGGCCAGTTGTTCAAAGCGGTGTATGAGGGAGAGTCATGAAAGTGGACATCATTCGATGGGTCTGGAAGTGGGCTCTTGTGATGCTTGGACAAAGAGGGCTGGAAATGCTGGAGGCGCTTGAAGCCACCATTGAAAGACTTCCAGTGGTTCACGATCAGAAGTTAGGGCATGATTGCGGCATTCGGGGCCGCTGGACAAGACTATTTAAGAAAGGAACACTTCGGTATACCGACCTGCAATAAAGCATCCGGCCTGTCAAAACCCAGCCACCCAATGGGCGGTATCAAGCTTGTTTGTTCTCCAGGAGTTCACACATGGATAGCAGTTTAGATAAACCCTCAAGTGCACCACCAATAGGTAAATGGCACAAACCGACCCCGTACTTCTTCCCTAAAGGACATCACTGGATAGGGATAGCTGCTCGTCTCAGCTTGGCTCGTACCAGGTCTAGAAAGATGTTCTTCCAGGGTTTCCCACCCCCAGGCTGTCCCCTAGCTTGCAGGTTCTTTTTTTTAAAGTATTTGTCAACATACCATGCGTCACGATCACGATCACGGTCCTGAGTCCTGAACTTTCTTCTGAAACGCATGATTCTGAAACTTTCTTCGGTAACCCAGTGATCACCCCATAGTTTAACGAAGATTTAGGACTATTTTCCTTTAGCACGTGTAGTTCTGAGAGATTCGGGTCAATTTTTGGCGCTCAGACTGTCCCTCATTTGCCGTTCTCTGTCGCTCGCAAACTTGTGACCCGGCTCGATGCCGATGGCACACTTGGGACCATCACAGACCCTCAGAGCATCCAACTAGGTTCTGGGTCATGGCATAGATGACCTTTTATTATCGGTTTGTTGATTAAACGAGGGCATGCCCCCAATAGCTCTTGTCGTTGGACTTTTCGACGTCAAGGGAGCCTGTCAAGCGGTGTTGAGGAGCAAAATCCAGCTGATCCGCAATTCGCAGGAATGTTTAGTTGGATTCCACCCAGCTTTGCTCAGACGTCATGTTCATTCGGGGAGGACCGGTCCGAACTCTCACTGTCGCGCAGACAGTCAAGATAGACCCTCACCACCACGCACCCACGCGATTCATTTCCCAATAGAAGGTGTTCTTACGATCACGAAGCGGACTCAGACTCAAGCTATGTTCCAAGCCCTGCTGGGCCCGAACGTGCTCGGTGCCCGAAAATGCTTGGTGCCGCACATGCTTCGAGCCGGCCTCTTTGAGGACCAGGGGGTACAACGTCGCGCTGTCATGAGGACAAGTTGGTACAATGTCATTTACTGCAATGTCATCTACGTACGCAGTATGGAAACATTTGGAGTTTGGCACCGAGGTGAGATCTTATTTGGCTGTTTTTTGTTTTTTTTGCTATCGGCTAGTCTATCACTCCAGAAAGGCTGGAGCTACCCGGACGTTGCCAAGGAGCGAGGCCATTGTCCGAACGTTTTTGTTCAGGAGTGATTAGCTACGTATAGATCAGTTCCGATTGGCGTTTGGGTAACCAAAGCCTTTGGCACCAAATATAATATGATATATACATAATATATATATATATACTGCATACCCATCCTTAATCCATCAACTGATTTTATTTATATATACTGTAATATGATCAATCTATACATGTGTATTAGTATATACAATACATGCTCCATAATTTCACGATTAGGGGGTCAAGTTTTGCAGTTAAAAACGTTTTGGTGGAAATCGCCCATTCATCATGCGAGGGCATAGTCCATCTCTTGATGTTTGGAGGTTGCCTTGACAAGATGTCCCAGGTCCCTCAGGTACATTTGCACAAGCTGCAGTTCTCTCAATTTTATTAATAAGAGCCCTGATGAGCCCTGAGATGTATAAACCATGTTGCATGGAGATTTGGTTGACAGTCTACATGAATTCAATGAATCTTGCTCAGTTCATCCCCTGCTCGTGACGTGAATCAACGCGCCACAAAGCGCTAAAGCGCCTGACGACGGCCACCGAGTGGTGCTCTTTCCGGCCTCGCGGGGCGCGCGCCGTGTTTTCACGGGCGCTGACGGGGAGCGCGGTGCGACTCGGAGAGCGGTGAGGCGGCTGTTTCCTCAGGTGACACTCACTGATTGACACAGTACATAATTAAACATACGGTTTGGTTGGTGGCTATGGCCAAATATCTCCAAATACGGTTAGTAAGTCATACTCAAAGAGCTTGTCCACTTGAACTATAGCGTGTTTCTCAACAGCTGAACCAGCATGTTTCTCAACATGAGGTGCTTGTAGTAGGGGGATTCTCATCAATAGAGGTTTTCCTGTGTTCAGCGGTGTGCTTCAAGGCAGGGTCTCAGTCATTTTGGAGAGATTTCGGCCATGTGGATGAGCATAGGGAAGGACCATGACCATATATGACCATAGGATCTTGTATACCAGCCATTTCGACCGCCTTGCCTCATTGTGATGCCTCTACCAGACCCACCAAACCGAACAAGATCGAGGGCCGGCCCGAGTCTCCTTCAGTGCTTCTACCGGTTTCTTGCCCCTCACTCCCACACCCTTACTGCCTCTGACCTCGGGCACTAACCTCTTCCAACACAACTCCGAGTCACCGGAGTCCACCACGGGACCTCGGAGTCACGCGTGGAGACTCGGGCTGGTTGAGTACATCGGAGACTCGGAGACAGCATGTCCTCTATAAACCATGGACCCGGTGAACATCACGAAGCTGGGTTTCAATTACGATGGTCGCGACCCAGCCTTGCAGTTGCTTCCTCGATCGCACTGCGTGCACGAAGTTTGCCCGCCATCTTGGCCTTGCCTCGCGAAGAAGGCTCAGCTGTAGTTCAATTGTCAATAAAAGCTGGACACCGATAGCAGATGTGCGGGATGACGCGGAGAGCTGTTCACACTGTTCTTTTTTTTTGGGGCAGTTTGTTGCTATTCAAGCATATGAGCAACCTGCAAAGCCTCCGATGAAGGCAACATCACTACAGTGAAGACCAAGTAAATAAATGTAAATAAAGTGAAGGACCGTGAAGGAAACCTTCAGGAACGATAACGTTCACAAAAACATGGTATTGGTCCATGTTGTTATAGTCCAGACACCCAGGTACGATAAGGTCCACAGAAAAAAAGATAAACCAACAACGATAAGATTGGGAAGAGTGCATACTACAACACATAAGAGGTTTTGCACGTCGTTCATATGCAAGCTGCCTTTGCTTGCGATGTTTTGAAGGAAAGCTGGAGTTGGCATGTTTTTGTTTTGTGCATCCCTCCGAACAAACGCCACCGGATTGCCTGTAGAACATGTCCAGCACCTGGGCTATGCGTATTTTGGAAAGAACTTCACCTCAATGCACTGTACTAGCTACTCCCGTAATTATATAGCTTTTTGCACTATGTTGCCTCAGTTGGCAAGTGGTCGGCTTTCTGAAAAGGCACATCACCAATGAGGTTTGGACCATAACCAGCTATGTGTGCATAGTGGTGGCCGTTCCGAGCCACGAAGTGGACACTGTGCTTGTTCAACGGGGGCGAACGGACACTGTTTGGTGTACGATCGTACCTGGCTTCACTGGGTGGGCCCACATGGAAGAGTTGCACAGAATGGGAGATGAAGACATGGTGAGATGGAATCAGATCAAGATCGGCTCCAGTGTTCTTGTCCTCGAACTTCGCTCCAAACATCTTGGCTTTTGGGATGCTTTTGGCTCAGCGTGGCGCATGACCATGACGACAACCGCCACTTTGGCAGTGGAGGGATTGGTTTCGAGCCGTGATGGGTGTGATGAAACAAGATTGGGGCCACTGAAATGATGTACTATTGCCAACTTGTTTGGGTGAAGATCCTTTTTATGCTTGTCCAAAGCCTACATGAAGAGTTGCTAAGCATTTGGATCCTTCAAGACCGTCACGTC